CCAGCAAGATGCAAAGCTCAGGTCCACAGACCCAGGACAAGGCATCTGAACTGCCCTGCTCCCCTTAGCCCCCAACATGTGAGGGTTTTTTTACAAGGCTCTGGGGTTTGTTGAAATGTCACCCAAGGAACAGGCTTTGGACAGCAAAGATTTCTCCTGGTATCTTATAGAAAACCACAGTAATCCCAGCTGGATAGCATCAATGTATTAGCCATTGCTCTGCTGGTTCTTAATTCTAGCTTTCTGCTATGACCCTAAGGCTCTTAAATAAGAAAACAGGATGGGAGTAGTCCTGGATTTCTCAATATTTCTGGGTTGGCCAAGAGCAGGGTGCTTGGCTGTAGTGGGGACAGTTAGCAGGAAGCCCTGGAGGAAGTGGAGCCTGTTCAGTGCAGTTGAACACATGGCTCTACTTCAAAATGACCTTGCTGTACTCTGGAGCAACACAACTTGTGTGTGGTGAGAGGATTGGTCCCTTCCAGTCATACCAACGATGATCTTGGCCTGTGCCAGTCTTGCCCTGTCAGGGATGAAGTCTCAGCCCATGTTGAGCTCTGGATGGATCCCTGTATGGAGGAGATGATGCACTGGAATGCTGCAGCTGATGAATGCTGTGCAAGGAGGAGGTTGCCTGAGCTGCCCTCCTCTGGGAAAGGGGTTGATGACAGCAAAGCTGCTCTACATTTGCACGGTGGGAACTTTGACCGGTGCAGCCCAAATCAGGTACTGCTATTGGCAGGCACTGGGCTCAGGGGGACAGCCAGTCTGGTCTAATTTGGCAAATCCTCTGTTGCCCCAGTTTCCCTGTTTCGCTGAGCCTGCTGCAAGGAATGTCTTGGCTCCCTGGGAGGAAGGCAAGCACTGCAGCAGCCCACGCACTGATGTTTGCTTGTACAAAGGGTGAATGCCCTTGGTTTACCCCGTGTTTGCTGGCACTCAAGCACGTGTTCAAGTAGTTATTGCATAGCATGTTCTCTGTGGTCAGTGCAGCATATTTGCATGAGCTGGGAAGGCTTAACTCTCTGTAAACCTGGCTGTTCGTTTTCACTTCTCGTCTTCTGTCACTTCCCAGGTCTGGAGCTACTGAAGAACTGGTGTGTCAAAGGGTACCACACTGGGGCAGGGACGGATTTGGCCCAGATGGTGCGTATAACTGTGGGTAAGGTAGGCAGAGATGGTTGTTTACCTGCACAGAGTTGGGTAGAGATCCTGCTTGTTCTGCCTCCTCTGGCTCCAGTCTTACCTGTTTGCCTTCTTCCATCTTTGCCAAGGCCTCCAGGAGTCTGGAAAAACCCATGCTGCCCTATTTCCCACAAATGTGAAGTCATGAACAGTATATCAGATCTGCAAGTATTTTGCATCTGAATATCCTTGGATGCACTGGGCACAGCCCTACATATTTGGCATCTGTTCTGCCCATTGTTCCTCTCTGTGAGGGAGTCGTCTCTGTCTGTCACTCCTGTGCCTTACAGCAGAATGCTACTCTGAAAGAAACCCACTCTTTTGACCTCGAGATGCTCTACTCCCACTTTCAGCAGAGGGATTCATTAGGCAGAAAGCAAAGATTGCTCTGTTTGCTATTCTGGGAACAGTCTGGTGGCAGTGACAGTGCGCAGCAGTGAGGCAGCTCTAGCTGAAGCTCTCTAGGGCAGCCTATAGCAAAGCACAGCAGGCTTGAGGGATTTTTGCCATGACTTAAATAGCCATTCTGTTGTCTTGCTCTCCTCCTGCAGTGGTCATTGCCAAAGTCGTTCTTCCTCCAGAAGAGTAGCATTCAATCAAACAGCTTCAGCAAACTGGAACTGGGCAGTCTGGGGTGAGTTTGCACTGGCCGTGACATTCATTGTGTTCATAGTGTGGCTTTTGGACTGGTGTCCTGGTAGAAAACTGGCAGCCCAAAAAGCAGCTTTATTTGAGGGGGAGGAGCAAGTTGGTTTGTAGTCTGTGAATCCTCTGCTCTTAGGAGAGCCAACAGATGGGGTTGGCATGATGTCTCTGCAACTGGGCATGTCTCCTTGGCACTGTACCCCCAGCTTAAATGGGAGTGAAGCTCAGAACAGCTAGGTTAGGTGATGCTTGGAGCTGTCATGGTCAGAACATACTGACAAGATATTCCCCTCATTGGAACTTGTATCACTTCTGTTGACACTGATGTGGTTACCAGTGAGCAGAGGCTCTCAGCTGCAGCAGTGGCTGGGGGAACAGTGAGGCCGCTCCAGGTCTCTTGTACTCTCCCAGCTTCTCTGAGCAAAGCTGGGCTGCTGACTGCTTCCTGCAGAGGTGGAGGACTGGAGTTAGTCTGGGTGAGCCAAAGTGAAGGGGAGGCACATCCCTGGTCTCTGGTTCTAAGAAAAAGATCATCACTGCTCCTGTGCTGAGGCCAGGGTGGAGCTGGGTTTACACAAAGACAGGGAGACTAAGCTGTGACCCTGAAGTCCCACTGATACCGGGATACCTGTTGGGGTCAGTGATGCTGCCTGGGATGGGAGATACAGAGTAGGTGAGCCTGGCAGCCCTGTCTGTGAGTCCATGTGTTGTGATAAAGCAGATTATTATTGCACCATGGTCCTGTTGGTCCTTTTTCACTGTCCCTAAGAAGCCTGGGGTCTCCTTTTTGTTGCAGCACGTGCTTCCCTTCAGCTGGTGAAAATCTCACAAGTTGCCTAGAGCCCAGCCCTACTCAGAGCTTACCTCTCAGCAAGTGCACTGGTGGAGCCAACCAGAGACCTCCTGGCTGCCTCTCTGACACTGCCCTGGCGATGTGACCAAGCAACCACCATCCTTCCCTGGGGACACATCAACCTACCTCAAAGGAAGAGACAGAAGCTGGCTCTGTAGAGCAAGAACTGTGGGAGCCCCTAGCACTGCACACTTGTTCTGGGCCTGGTTGTAGAGAGGGATGTTTTCCTGGGCAAAGAGGAGACCCGTGTGACTTCAGTTTCTAAAACAAGTGGCAAAGCCTGAGGAAGTGGGAGTTATCTGGCCTTTCTCCTAGACTGTTCTTAAAGCCTGACATGGTGGTTTCTTGCTGCATGGGAGCATGGCTGAGCCTGCCCTTCTTGTCCCCAGTCAGTACAGGCTAAGCCCTTGCTCACCGGTGTCTGTCTTGAGTTGCTGGCGGCCGAGTCTGCTCTTGCCCTGCTTCAGCCTGGTCCCTGGAGATAAGTCCCCAGTCCTCATGCCTGGGAGGAAGTAAAACTGTCCAGTTTTATCCTTTCTGAATGTCTGTATCAACATCCTGCCCGCCCCAACAGGCAACAGGCCCTGCAGGAGACCTCAGGCTTGCACATCGCAGCTCAAGAGAGACCACGGGTACCAGTGTGGCTCCAGTTTGTTGTGGGGGTGTAGGGCTGCTGGGGAGGGAGCATCCTTCTCAAGGCCACTGGCTCTCTGGTGTGCCCTGCAGCATGTGTGCACAGACTGCAGACTAGTGCTCTTCTCCTGGGTCAGCTCTCTGTTTTCCCTTTGTTTCTCAAGGATTTCTATTAAATTTTAACACTCAACTACTCTCCTGGTTTTCATCTGCCTTCCTTTCCCTGTCCTCTGTGTCTGATGGGAAGCTCACCCCTTCCCATGCTTCACTGAGCTCTCGTACAGGGAGGGTTTGTGCTACCACCCCACTTTTCCCTGTCCTTCCCAGAGCTGGGGGTAATTCTTGTTCCCCTGTGGCAGGTAACATATACCTCCCTGCATGGAAGAGCAGCTCCTAGCATAACTGCCTTTGGTCTTGGGGTCTTATGTCTTAGGGACTACCTGTGTGTCATTAACCAAGGGGAATAGCAGAGTCCAGCCTTGCAAGAGGGGTAGGAAGGGTTGGGTGCCCAGAGCTGGCCCTTGCTGGTTCAGGGTTCTGTCCCCTGAGTATGGAAGGTAAATGCTGGGTGCTTGGGCAGGTTCTTGGGGCCCAGAGAAGGTGCTGATGTGTGGGCCCTGGGTCTGGTAGAAAGCCCTTCCCTCCCCTACCCTTGCAGCCCACCATTTCCCAGCGCTGGGCCCTGTTTCTCTGGTCTCCTTGGTGACAATCTCATCTCTCCTCGGCTTCTCTCCAGCACCTGAAAATAGCCTCCGAAAGTGGAGATGCCTGCTCCCCTCCCTGCTGCCAGCACCCTCGATGGCCAGGCTGGAGCCAGACTGTTCTGCACAGCACAGCTGTAAGGGCCTGGCCCCATGGACCCCTGCACCACTGCAGGATTTGGGTCACCCTGTGAACCAGCACTGAGGCCCCAGCCTCATCCCTCCTCTTGCAGCCTGCAGTGAGGCAGCACCAGGGAACTCCTTGTACCCCGCCATGGGCCACAATCCAGCTGTCCTCTACAGCCAGACAGACCCCTATCCCTTCGGCCCTGTAGCTACCAACCCTGTAGCTCGCCCGACAGCCTCCCAGAAATAGAAAACGGAGCCGGGTGTGGGCAGAAGGCGAGCTGGAGCCGGTGGCCCTGCAGCAAGGAAGGGGGTTACCCCACAGGTCGGGCTGCTGCCACCATGGGGCCAGGGTCGCCGCGGACAGGGAGCTGCAGCAGGACCCCGGGCAGGGACAGGCAGGGCTGGGCAGCGTCGAGGAAGAAGGGTCCGCTTCCACCCAGCACATGGCTGGACCCAGCCGTTCTCCGGCATCCCTGTGGAGAGAGGAACGCTGTGCCCCCCACCCGCGACGGGGTGGGACAGCACGGGGCGGGCTGGACCGCGTCCCGAAGGCGCGCAGTACCGCTCCTGGAGGACGGGGGTCCACGGAGCGGGGTGTTCCTCCGCTCTCTGCCCCCAGCCATCCCTCCAGCGCACCCTCCCTCGAGTCCCCCATGGCCAGCGCTGTCCCCGGGGACGCGACCACCTAGCTCAGCCCGGGGCTGCGGGGTGGCTGCGGGCGCTGCTCGGTGGTGTCGCCCGTGTCCCCCCCCGCGGCGGTGGCGGTGGGGGCATGGCTGGCATTGCTCGCTGACACTCTATCTGCCAGGGCCACGCCAGCCGCGGGCCCAGAATAGCAGCGCTGCCGCACAGATAGCATGGAGCGGCTCCGTGGCCCCGCCGCGTCCCAGGTACCCTCAGGCTGGGTGGGGAGCACGGCCCGACAGAACCCCGATTGGGGACAGGCCACCTCTGGGGTGGGAGCATGTGGGCGGCCGATGGGCCCCTTCCCACGGACATGGAGCCGTGGGGACAAGGACGTCCTTGTGCCAAGCCCCTTGGGAACAGTTGGGGCAGGTGCTGCAGGGTCTCTTCCTTCTCGGTGTTTGCTCTAGGCTCCTTAGGGACTGATCGCTGTCCCTGTGGCTTCGTTATTTTAGGGTGGTCTGTAAACTTCTGCTATGTCAGGCGGGTTTGTGCCTGGGGTAGCTCTTCCCTCTGCACACGTGGCTCTGTTACAAGCAGGGTCTCCTGGGGACTGGGGGAATGGGGTTAGTCATCTGGCGCTGTGGACTTTCTTCTTCCTCGGGCTGCTGCTTTGTTAATGTAAGTTTCCTGTGATGGACCTGGTCCCCCGTAGGGTCCAGTGGGGTAGGCAAGGCTCTCGGCATGGGAAGAAGCAAGAATGGAATTTACACCTTGGGACTGGGAGAGGATGGGCGCAGAGCCACTGTGGGACACGCTGGAGTCCAACAGCAGAGAGAGAAGGCAGGAGGTCCTGCCATCCATTCTTGTCCTGCTCTGGAGACCCCTGCTGTCTCCCCAGAGCAGGAGAACAAGCTGGGTGACCTGGAGTGGAGCCACCATAGAGACCACAGGCTCTGGAGATCCTTGGCTGGTGGGGGGTGCCCACATCCCCACCCTGACAGGACAGTTCTCTGCCTGGCTTGGGTGGGCCAGAGCAGCTGGGTGGGTGCAGGCAGAATCCATGGATGGGGAAAAGACTGGGTTGACTCCTGTTGACCCCTCCTCACTGTGTGCCCTCTCAGGTGGCGCTGCTGGATGCTGTTACGTGCCCTGAGGAGGAAGGTGGGTAGCAGAAAGAGTCTAGGTGTATAGGAGGGGGGCTGCCTTACTCATGTGACAAGTGCATTGGTCCTCTGCCCACTTCTGCCCATACTCCTCTCCTCAGCTGGAGTCCGCCCCAGACTGGAGAACTGCAGTGCTATGTGCTGGCCCTGTGGAATGGGGAACAGGGGGGCTCTGCTCGCCCTAGGCAGGAGGGTGCTGAGACCCAGCAGCTGAGACCCAGCAGCTCAGCTCACTCGCTAGGGCTGGGGTGACTTTGTCTGCAGGGTTTTCGAAGGCTGTATGCCCCAGGGAGGAGGAAGAAGAGGAGGACAAATACAGGAGACCTGTCACCTTCACACTGGGAAATGAGATACTGGGGCTGGGCCCAGAGAGAGAGTTTCAGAACCCTGATGCTGAGGTTTATATGCACTTCTTAAGGAGCCACTGCTGTTACGATGCCATCCCCACCAGCTGCAAACTCGTTGTCTTTGACATCTCCTTAGAGGTGATAACCTGGGGAATGAGTGGGGGTGGCAGTGAACAAGCAGGCTTGGGGATCCTCTGAACCCCTCCACACTCTGCCAGCAGATCAAGAAAGCCTTTTTGGCACTGGTGGCCAACGGGGTGCGTGCTGCCCCTCTCTGGGACAGCAAGACGCAGAGCTTTGTGGGTGAGTGCCAGAAGCAATGCCTGGTCCCCTCCCCTGCCTGGCAGAAGAGGGTACAGGCAGTGCTGCCAGCCCCACATATCTTCACAGGGATGCTCACTATCACTGACTTCATCAACATCCTCCACCGCTACTACCGCTCACCTTTGGTGAGTGCCGTGAGGAGGGCTTGGGGGATCAGGACATGCATGGGGCAGGGAGCGGCTGTCCCTATCACTCCTGGTCCCTTCTTAATCTCCAGACAATGGCCAGGGGATGATTCTGGGCCAGACCAGGATCCACTTGTTGCTCCCCTCCTTGGCCCCCCAAATGTTATCCCTGTGCTTGGCTGATGGGATGCGATGCAAGGGGAAGGGGGCAGTGTCTCAGAGTGCCCTCAGTCCCCCATGGAACCACCATGACCAGGGCATTTCCCTGCCTTCAGGTTCAGATCTACGAGGTGGAGGAGCATAAGATTGAGACCTGGAGAGGTAAAATTCATGTGGGTGGCTGGGTGATGTTGTCACACAGGGCATGGAGGTGGGCTCTGGGGTTGTGGGACTGCAAGAGAGGGCTGGAGGACCTCCTCTCATAGCTCTCTCCCTTGGCAGAGGTGTACCTGCAGGGCTCCCTCAAGCCACTGGTCTACATCTCTCCGAGCAATAGGTGAGAGCCTGTCCACTGGGGGAGAGCACACCCCTTGGAGTGGGGGTGTGTGTGCGCTGAACGCAGCGCTATCCCACCACGATGTCCGCATCACCCACAGCCTCTTCAATGCTGTCTACTCCCTGATCAAGCACAAAATCCACCGCCTGCCTGTCATTGAGCCTGTCTCGGGCAATGTCCTGCACATCCTGACGCACAAGCGCATCCTCAAGTTTCTCCACATCTTTGTGAGTGCAGACGCTGCTTATGCACACTCATGGCTGGGGTGTAGGGACACAGACAAGGGTGACATGCAGGTGTCAGCCTAACTCTGCTCTGTCCCATTGAAGGATTCTACCATTCCCAAGCCACGCTTCCTGAAGAAAACAGTGCAGGAACTGTGCATTGGCACCTTCCATGATCTGGCTGTCGTGCCTGAGACTGCCCCAGTCTACACTGCCTTGGAGATTTTTGTGGATCGTCGTGTCTCTGCCTTGCCTGTCATCAATGATGCTGGTACCTGGGGAGGGAAAAAGTGACGTCCTCATCTCCCTCTGCTAGCAGCTCCAGCACCATCCCTACCCAAAACCCCTCTCCTGGCCCTTGGGCTGCCCTTTGGGATCTGGGAGGAACATGGCAGGTGGTCCCTGGGCTGCTTCCACAGCCCCTGCACTGTTTCTCTTTGCAGGGCAAGTAGTTGGCCTGTACTCGCGGTTTGATGTCATTGTGAGTACCCTGCATGTGTGCATGCCCAGGCTCAACTTTGGCCCCTTGCATGCACTGGTGGGGCACTCATACCTGTCTGTGCCCATGCAAACCCACCTCACATGCAGTGTGATGTATGTGCCAGTGCACATCTGCTCTGTGCATCTCCTGGGCTCATTGTCCCTTGTATGTTGGCACAATGGGGTGCAAGGACACCTTGGGACTCTGAATGTGGTCACATCTATCACAGCACCTGGCAGCCCAAAAGAGCTACAACAACCTGGACATCAGTGTGAGGGAGGCACTGCAGCAGCGCAGTGTCGCCCTGGAGGGAGTCCTCACCTGCTACCCCCATGAACCTATGGAGGACATAATTGACCGCATTGCCAAGGAGCAGGTGAGTGGCTGGGGTGCCTCGTGCCAGCCACTGCTGCCGGCTGCCCAGCCTGCCTGTGACGCTCTGCCTGCACCCACAGGTCCATCGCCTGGTTCTGGTGGATGAGAACCGGCACCCACGGGGCATCATCTCCCTCTCTGACATCCTGCAGGCCCTTGTGCTCACTCCTGCAGGTATCGATGCTCTTAACTCTTAGCCCATGGTGCTCCATCTTTCTCCACTTGCACCCTCAATTTTTCTCCACTTCAGGTAGGCGCCAGCCCCCCACTGCTGCGTCCCCTCCCTGCTGGTGGGTCACCTGCCTCTGTCCCGTCCAAAGTGGTCCTTGGGGGATGGAGGAGGCTGGGGCTGGGGTTTGGCAGCGCTGGGTGCCCAGGTGGAGACAGCAGGGCCCAGATGCTGCTTGTCCCAGGGGTACACAAGGATCGAGGGGGATCCCTTGTGACTGAGGAAGGAGGGGGACACTTCCTATGGAGACACTCCACCAGAGCCCCATTCAGGCAGAGTGTGGAATGCAGGTTTTGCAGGTCCCTGGGCTTTGGGCTGGATGAGGGTTTTGGGGTGTGATGCACCCCCAGACAAAAGCCTATTTTTGATCCTGCCTCAATTCCCCCTAAGACCTGAGCACCTCCAGTGCCATTCCCAAGGGACACATCGCTGACAGACCCCCACTCGCACACCCCAGACATGCTGCCCACCACTAGCCATAAGCAAAACATGGCCAACCTATGACCCACAGCTGGCAGAGCCCCCCACCCCCTCCACTTGCAGCAGCCCCAAAACTGTCTGTTCCAGAGACAGGGCTCACTTCCAGGTGACACTGGCACCACACTGCCTGGCCACCTGCAGCTGGCTCTGCTCACCCACTACCTGGTGAATCCTCACTGGCTATGGGTGGGCACATTCCTGGCACCCACTCAGGCACCTCTCAGGGATGAAATGAGGAACGGGGAGCTGGCTCCCCAACTTTGCTTCCCAAAGGTAATAATGCTTTTCAGGGTCCTCGTGGGCAATGGGATGGGACAGGCCTGTGCATACCAGTTCCCCTAGCAGTGTCCAGCTGCTCTGCACAGAAGGGGACTGGGAATAGTGCGTGTTAGCCGCATATGGGATATCCCCCTTGCCCCCCTCCCTCCATTCCTCCATCATGGTGCCTTTGCTCACCCTATCCCAGGTGCCCACAGGGGTGGCTGTGTCAGGAGCTGCAGGGGGCCACTGAGATGTCCCTCTCCAGACAAGCTGCCCTCCCTCCTACCCCAGGGCTTGCATACAAGCAAGGAATGGAGGGAAGACCCCAGTGTCCACTGGGACAGTTGGAATGGCCGTATCACAGGGTGCCCAGTCCAGCACGGATTTGGGGTTATGGTCTCACACACTCTCTTGCCCCACAGGCATCGATCGATCCTCACTCTGAAGACACCAGGGAAATGCCCTGTCTTGTCTGACTCAGGGATCTCTGCGTGATCTGTGAGAAGGAGGCTTGGGTCTGAAGGCTCTCTGTGGGACGACATGCCTGTTCACTCCAGTCCTCGGGCTCGTCTTGAGTCCAGGGCTAGATCCTGCCAGTCTTGGAGAGGCAGAAACACTGAAAATGGGACCCAGGGGTGCCTCCTGCCAGTGAGCACACAGTGATGCTCAGTGGGCACTGTGCTGGAGGGGCTGCAACATGCCTGCAGCTGGGCAGAGACCCATATAGCCCCAGTGGACCTGACCACCCCTCTGCCATCCTGCTGATGGATTTGAGCGTTTCTGTTGTGGCTCCCTCCTAGTGAACACAGTCCCGCTGTCTGTGCCCGGTGCCTGGTAGCGTAGGCTCAGCTGTACACACAGGCTTTTTTATTTTGGGGTCACATGGGGCTGGAGCTCTCTGGCAGAGGCACAGTCTGTGCCAGAGCTGGCAGCAGAACGGGCACTTGCATGGAGACCCTGTGCACGTTTTGGGGTGGGCAGGGGGTATTTATTTATTTGTTAGTCTGTTCAGCCTTGCTGTAAAAAAGCAGCCTGATCAAAGAACTGCCTCTTGCCTTTCTGGGGTAAAGCTGGGCATGACTCCTCTGGAGGGAACCAGGCTGTGGAAGGGGCACTGGTAGAGTAGCACCTCCGCCCATGTGGGTAGAACCAAGAGGATGGGGACACAGGGCATGCAGTCTTAATCATCTTGATGGTGTGCAGGTCCCTTCAGGGACACAGAGTGACAAAAGCTTTGGTACCAGCAAGATTTCCACCTGCTGCTTCCCTCAGTCCAAGAAGAAGGAAAGTATGAAGGGGTGACTGTTAAAAATGTCCCATGCCCCATCCCTTAAGGACCCTGGGCAAATGGCAGTGCATCCCCTGCCTGTGGCTGCTACCAGCTGTGAGCCTTGCAATGGTCCTGGCTTGGAGGTAGGGGATGCTGAGCTCATCTTTCTCCTGCTGCTTTGCCTGCAGCAAGCCCTGCCATTCCCTTGATCCCCTATCAGCATTTCAGTGCAATTACTGGCTGACAGTGGAAAGTGCCAGGAACTCAACACCCCTCCTGTGCTGGCTGGCTCTGCCAGGGGATGCAATACCAGTGCTGGGTGGTGACAGGCCTACTCCCATCATTGGGAATGTGCTGTGTTATTGCCGTGCTTTCCCAGGACCAGGGCTGGCTCAATCCCTTGGGAAAGGCGCAAACCCCAAACGCCCCAGCACTCAACCCTCCCCTGGGGGCAAGGGGAAAAGTGAGGCACAGAGAAGTTTCTGAGGCCAAGGTCAGCTGTTCAGAGAGGACCCAGATGTCCTGGCTCCAGGCACAGATCCACGCACAGCTACACAAGGACTGGACGAAGGAAATACCGAATGGCTGCAAGCCCCCTCCCTGCTTTCCCCCAGCCCCAAAAGAGCTCCCAGGTTCCTGATACAGCCCAGCTGGGCACAGGAGAGGGGGGACACAACCCCCCTGCAGTGTGTCAAAGGCACAGCAGTTCCCCAAGCCTCCTGCTGATTTTGGGCAGGGGGATACTAGTGGCCATGGGGTGATTTGGGGGCAATCTCTCATCCCCCCCACCTTTCCCACTGTGGGACTGTAAGCCCCCTGGCCCAAGCTGGCCAGAGGAGGGGTTTGCCTTCCTGTCCTTGTGGGGCAGTAAAGGGGATCTCCATTTGGCACCCAGGGTGGGGGTGGACGTGCAGTCAGGGGGCTCCTGGGCGAGCGATGAATTCCAGGTTGATGGGCTTGTCAGCCACCAGGACAATGCGGGACACAGATGTCACTTCCACGCCACGGGGGTCCGGCCGCACCTCATATGCCTGGATCATCTGTGGGGAGAAGGGGAGTTGGCAATGCCTTGGGGACTCCCTGGGACCCCCATCCCAGCTTATGGCAAGATAACCAAAACAGGGGGGATCCCTACTTACCCTGGCAAGGGCCAGGTGCATCTCCAGCTCAGCGATGCGGCGTCCGACACACGCACGAACCCCGTAGCCAAACGGGATGGAGCTGAAGGGGTGGTGAGGGGAGCCGTGTCCCCGGAGCCAGCGCTGGGGCAGGAACCGCTCAGGCTCGGGGAAGTAGGTCTCATCGTGGGACATCGCGTAGTGTGCCAGGACAAAGAGGGTCTGCAGGGAAAGAATTTGCGTTTAATGACCCCACCTGGCCCCACTGAGTGCAGCGGGGGTCCCCACAGCACGGCCCCCACTCACATTCTTGGGGAAGAGGTAGTCTCCGATGACAATGTCCTTCTCATAGAAGACCCTGGCGTTGGTGGGCACCACAGGGTAGACTCTGGGATATGGGGAGAGTTAGTGGGGGAGCAGGACTTGTCTGGAGATCCCAGAGAGAGCAAGGACAGGCAGGCAGGACAAGGCTCAGCAGCTCCTCGGGGGTGGGGACATAGATATTTGCAGTCCAGAGGGACTGAAATCCAGCCTTGCATCCTGCCTGGTTGGTGCATCCCCCCTGGAGAAGGGGCTGGTGACCAGGACCTCAGGGCAGGGACAAGGCTGGGATGTACCTCAGAGTCTCCTTGATAACGGCCCGAAGCATCGGCAACTTGGGGATATCCTCAGCAGCAGGAAACCGGTTGGCAGGCACAACAGCTTTCAGCTCCTGGTACAGGGTCTCCTGGATGTCTGCGTCGCGGGAGAGGTGGTACAAAGCCCAGGACAGCGTGTTGGAGGTCTGGGGGAGCGGAGCACCAGTGGGAGTGAAGGAACTGGGGCTAGTACCTGAGCAGCCTTGTGCCAAGCACAGCATCAGTACAGCACCAGAGAGCCCCTGCTCTGGTGCGCAGAGAAGTCAGGGGTGAGGGGCAGCAGGCACAGGGGAGAGAGAGGCAGGGAGCAGGGCACGAAGCAGAGCAGAGGACAGGATCTGTATTGACCAGTCCCTGAGGGTTTACCCCTGTGGGGCATCAGCCCCACAGCAACCAGGCTACAGCTTGCAAGGGCTGGATGGAGCATGGCCCCGTGGGTTCCTCTGGGCATGGAGCTCAGCAGAGATCCCCTGGAGCAGCTTTCTAGCTCTCACCGTGTCCACACCAGCCAGCAGCAACTCGGCCACGCTGCCATAGACCTCATCCAGGCTGAGTCTGCCACTGGCCAGCAGGTAGCTCAGGTAGCCGGACACCTCCTTGCCACGCTCCACCTGCCCCTCCAGCTCCTCCATCTTTCGGTCAATCAGTTTCTTGCCTGCAGGGACAGAGAGTGGGAACCAGAGCTGACAGAGCAAGGGCTGCCAAAAAGACATTTGGCCAGGGACTGCCCCACTTTTTGAGAGTCCTTAGGGATCCCAATGCCACCACACTGGATGCCCATTGTCACTGCTCACCGAAGGCGAAGATGGTGTCCCAGCTGTCCAGGTAACGGTCCCAGAAGGGCAGCACCTTGCGGCTCCATCGGGGCAGGACAGTGGCAAAGATGGAGTTCTTGAACATGAGGTTGATGGAGTCAATGAAGTGCTGGGTCTCAGCAGGGACCTGCTGCTTGAGGCACCCGATGCGGGTCTCAAAGAGGATATAGGAGATGCCTGCGGGGGACAAACAGCATCCAGACCTCCAGGGGAATGGGACAGGGCAGGGGTGAGAGGGAGGACACCCCTACCTTCCAGGGCAAAGCGGTAGAGCAGGTTGGCCACGTCCCCCACCAGCACCCCTGAGGGGCTGCGGCTCCGCTCCTCCCGCAGCCGCACCATCAGGTCTGACACCACCTCCCCGATGGCATCCGCGTACAGCAGCGCCTCCGAGGGTTTCAGCAGCCGCTTGTTGAGGACCTGGCGCAGGCGGTACCAACGCTCCCCTTCCCTGGATGGGGACGAAGCTCAGCGCTGGGGGGCACGGATGGGCAAGGGGCAGCAGTCCCCCAATCCCTGTGTGCATACTCCCCAACCCCAGGCTGGAACCATCCCAGGGGTCGTTCCACCCGCTGTGGCCATGCCCGTCTACTTGGTGGGGATGTGCAGCTTGCAGGAGTGGGAGTAATGCAAACTGCCACCTGGGCCCTATACCTGAGGAAGGGGCAGGAGACGTGTGCTGCCCCAAAGAGCATAGCCAGGGCAGGACTCACTCGGTGAAGGGTCCGTAGGGCAAGCGCCGGGTGTCCCGGTGCTCCTTCCACAGGGCCATGTCGCTCCGCATGGGGTACTTGCCCTCCTGGCGTAGCAGCTGCTCCAGCACCACTGGGCTCCCAATGTTGATGTTCCTATAGTGTCCGAAGGTTGACTTCCAGATAGGTCCATAAAGGCGTCGGGATATCACCTGTGATGCACAAAGCATAGCAGGGTCAATGAGATGAGCTGGGTCAGAGCCTCCCTGCCCCAACGCTGCCCTGAATGTGCCTATCTGCACCCACCCCATGGGCATCTCAGCATCATCTGAGTTCAAGCACCTGCCTCTGACACCCCCCCAAGGTGGCAGCATCCCTGAAGTGCTCTGCAGATGGTCTGGGCTGGTGTCTCTGGGCTCATTTCCTCTCCCAGCACTAAAATCACCAGGCACTGATCCCCCAGTACAGACTGCCACATCCTTCACCCACCCCAGAGATGCAGAGAGAGCCTGGTGGGTCTTTTGGGGAAGGAAGACCAAGAAGGGACAGCAGGGACAGAGACAACTTGCAAGCACAGGACTGTGCTGAGATGCAGGACCATTGCAGCATCAACCAGCAGGACTAAGTCCTGCTGCTTCCAGCATGGCTCCAGCTCTGCCTAACCTGGGGACAACAGTCACTGAGTGGGTCCTTGAACTCACCACCCATTCAGGGTGGTTAATCATCAGCAGTGAGAGTGCAGCACCAGGCTAGGGCATAACTGGGCTGTTCCCAGAACAGGCTGTCACCTCCAGGCCATGGCCCTGGGGCCACAGGCTAACAAGCCAGCTAGGGGATGTTCATCAACAGTTTTGCTCTGGGACCTGTCAGCTGCAGCTCCCCTCCTGGTCCGCAGCCAGAGGTACCATGCCTGCTTCCCCGGCAGTGAGCACCGTGACCTCCAAGTGCATCCCTTGGGGGCAGCTGGGCACCCCTTTGTAAGTGGATCTGCACAGGGCCGTCTCCAAAGATCACTTTCCATCCCACCCAGGCACTGCCAGAGCCCCTGCAGAGCATGGCCAAGCATGGGGGGGGATACAGGACACTTAGCAGGGAAGCCCTGGTCCCCATTCCCCGTGGCTGTGAGGATGCACGTGGTACAATCTCCCTTGGTGACTGTCTGCATCGCAGCCTGCGCCTGGATTCAGCTGGATTCGTCACCACGGGGAGACGTTCCTCATGCACGGTGGCAGGAGGAGGGGGAGGGACGGCCGCCCCAGTACTGCAGGCAGCTCGTGGGCATGGAGCACTGTGCCCCAGCTTGAAGCCTGCCCACCAGCATCTGCCAGCAACCAGGACCTGACAGTGCAGGCCTTGGAGAGCTGGGCTGTGAGAAGCTAGAGCTGCCTGGACATGGGGAAAGGCACCTCCAGAGCATGTGGGCACCTTCCTGCAAAGCCAGGCTGTGCTCAGAGTCCCAAGGGCAGGAGGGAGCAGGAAGGAGCTCCAGTGCCTACACTCCAAAATCCCACTGTCCTGTGACAACCCCTTCTCCAACCAGCAGTGCATGGAGCTCTGAGATGCCAGGGAGGCCTGATCCCGCACGCTTCTCGGGCTGGTCAGAGCTCCGGGGCGCTGGAAGATGTCACCTGGCTTGCAGCCAGCCAAGCTCATTGCTTGCTTCATCCGACGTATGAGGAAGTGTTGACAGAAGAAAACAAATACCTCTGCCTACCCCTCCCCTGCCTCGGTATCATCTGCCAAAAAAACCTGCCCAGTCACCTGCACCCAAAACCGCTGCTCCCTCCAGGTGTCACAGCAGGAGCCCGGGGATGGCAGGACCCTGTGAGATACCCCCGAACCTTTGCCCTCAGCTGCCTCGCCGGCTCGGGGCTGCTGGAGCAGCCCCGAGCTGTCTGGACCCTCCCGATGTCACTCGGTTCTGCTGGCCCCTCTCTGCCTGCTGGCCCCAGCATCACCCTACGGTGCCGGGTGCCCCCCACCGCCCATCCCCTGTGCTCCCCTGCTCTGCCGCCCCCGCTCAACTCCCCGCCGTCACTTGTCGGCAGCTAACCCCACCCCGGAGCCCATCTCCCCTTGCCCCCAGCTCGCACCCGCTCCCTCACTCGCAAAGCCCCCCGGGGACAGCACCCTCCCCGCAGCTCCCCCGAAAGCCCCTCCATCCCACGCACCCCTCCCAACCCTCCCTCGCCACCTCCCGCCCGTGCAGGGTCGCCAGGCCCTCACGCAGCCCGACCCCCGCAGCCCGCAGCCCCCGGGCCGGGCTGCCCCGGCGCACCTGCAGCCGGTGCGTGTGCAGCAGGTAGCCCCGCAGGAACAGCCAGACGAAAGTACGGAGCAGCCCCGGCCCCGGTAGCTCCTCCGGTCCCTTCAGCCGCGCCGGCCCCGCCGCCGCTGCCGCCGAGCCCCCGGTCCTGCGCGGCGGTCCCGGGCTGCTGCGCGGCGGCGGCGGGCGGGGGCGCAGGAGCAGCGGCAGCAGCTGCCGCCCGGGCCCGCCGC